TTTTTTTTTTTTTTTTTTTTTTTTTTTTTTTCTAGACTCTTAATCCAACGATTATTGGCAATCAAATAATACCTGCACCGCAGGTTCAGGCGATGCCAATCGTACATGCAACGCAGGAACAATCAACGCATGACAACTCGACCATAATGATCACGTCGCCAGACCGTAATTCGCAGGCTGAGTGTTCTCTGATATTGCCATCTACCACGAATTCCTCCCCGTTAGTAACTGATGATAGCGTAAAGGTGATTGCAAAGAAAGAAGACGTACCTGTCCCTACGGAAGATGTCACAGTAGTTCAGTTAGAAATAACGGGTATTGATCTCATTTTATTAATAAATTTATTAGATATAATCCATGTAGAATGAAGATATAAATGGTTTTGTGTCCGTTTATACACAGATGTGGATCAAAGTAAAACGGTAGTAAAGGAAGATGAAATAATTGCTCCAAAAATTGAGGAGAAACCATGCAATAACCCATTAGCAGGGCTTGCCAATACAGTGAACGCTATTACGAACGGTGTTGTGGTCGGCGATGACACACAATTTATACCGATTTCGTCAGTCATAGTAAATAATAATAAACAAGCGCCGCCTAAAGCCATGGTGAAACCGCAGGTTCTTACACACGTGATAGAAGGATTTGTGATACAAGAAGGTATAACTGCTTCTTTATTTATCAATTATATGTATTAATTGATAAATATGTTACATTAAATGCCACTTTCACGAATACTATTAAATACTAGCGTTTTTCTTATCTATGTTGCAGCATCAGAACCATTCGCGGTGAGTCAGGAAACTGCCAATATCCTTAATCGAAGCAACACGATCACAGAAAAAGAGAAAGAGACACATGAAGAGCCTCCAAGTAAGTAATTACTCTCAATTGATTAATTGCGTTCAGCGTTTTAACTTCAAGCTAATATAAAATTTCCATCACAGGAAAGAAACTTTGTTCTACTTATTCGATTGAAGATGATGGAACTAGTGATCAAGACAGTAAATGTGAAAACTGTGGTAATACGCTCGACGAACAAAATGTCAGGTTAAAGAAAGAAAAGCGATTCTGTTCATCGATATGTGCAAAGAGGTGAGAGCATACTTTATAATATAGTAAACATGGTATGCAGAAATACTTATTACTAATAAGTATTTTCTTTGTAATTTTTTTTAATAAAAAATTTATCATCTATTTTCTATTTACAGTAAAAAACGTGAAGCGCGAGAGCGCGATACTGCGGAGAAACAATGGATTGAAATAGAGACTGAAACTAAAACCATCGATAACGACGTGACAAAGAAAAACGGCGACGAGCGGTCTTTATCTACGACTACTACATCCTCTACTGATGAATCACTGCCGAAAGTGAATCCGATTAAATGGACGGTAATGAGATATTTTTATAAGATTTTTCATTTATAAAGTATTTGAATATCAACACAAGCGAAATTGTAAAAAATTATATGTATTTCATGCAGGTGGGTGAGGTGTGCGAGTTTATACGCGGTCTACCAGGCTGTGCTGATTATGCAGAGGACTTTGCTATCCAAGAAATTGATGGCCAAGCCCTTATGCTACTGAAAGAAGACCATCTTATGTCGGCGATGAGTATCAAATTAGGTCCAGCATTAAAAATTGTTGCCAGAATCGATTCAATGCGCATAGAATCGAACTTAAATACTTCATCGAATAGTTCATAACCATTCTATGTATCAATAGCAGATTTCTTCAAAATGTGTTTCCAGAACGTCTCTAGCCTATGAACTACAGGACTTGTGCAAGTATTCGATTGAATGTAAATGCATTGGATTAAATGTCTTAATTGTGGCCGTGTATCTGAATGTATGAACGATTTCCATATTGGTATATTTTATCAAATTTGGATGTTATTTCTTATATCTTATAATTTTAGTTATACAATTTGCTTTTTATAATTACAACAAAAAAAAATAAAACAATATATTTTTTATTTTAAATGTATGGATAAAAGTAAAAGAAACAGTTTGCGTAAACTCCCACGTAGCACACCAGCGTGTGTAAAGCGCTTTCGAAGCGCTGTTCAGATTGCACCTCCCAAAATTGCTGTTAATTATGCACTTTTATTGCATGCGGATAACTCGGCTAATTTCAAGTCATATTGTTACTGTTATACGACATGAAAAGTGCAGTAAATGTGCTATAAAATTGTATTTATTCTGCGCTGATTATATGCGCTTCTTATTAGTGGATTTTGAAAGCGATTTTAAAGCGCTAATAAGCTGCTAAAGTACTGCACCTGCATACGCGCTTTTTTTAGCGCTTTGTAAGCGTTACTATGCTACGTGGAATTAATTTGTATCTTATTTTATGATTAAAAAATGAGGATACCTTGTATACTATACATATGGAGGATACTCGTGAATATATAATATACTTTTATATAAAGAACAACTTTACGTGACATAAAATCATTTTTGAAATTTCTTTAAAATTGCATTATTCAAAAGTATCGTCTATACGTATTATTTATAATTTAATTTTTAATATATTTAATCAGTTTGATAATCTAAATGGGTTTAAAGATGTTGCCATATCTTTTTTCTCTTTAGGAAATTATACTATCAAATATGCGTTTATTTTACGCACAAAAATCTAATTTACATGGAAACATAATTGTACTCTTGAGATAATATTACTTTGAATGCATGGAAATTGTTCAATTATAGCATATTTCGGGCTTAACACTGATTGATGTTCAAAGGTGTACACATAATGTCATACAATGATCATATAGCAATATCATATGATTATTGAATGATTATAAATGATTCTAATGCTCTATAAAATGTTTAAAAAGATTTTATTTGACTTACATGATGTCTGTATGAATGTTTTATTAAAGTGCACTATTTTGTAAAACTGAAAATGTCAAAGAATAGAGTACAAATTGTGTCCATTATGCAGGAACATATAATGTATATATAAGATGGTGTAACACATTGTATTTTGTACTCAGGAGTAAATACTATCAGTTGACATATAGAATGCATTGCTTTCTATGGAACTTACAGATAGTAACTTTTTTAGGTGCTATCTCATTAAAAATGTAATATTTTTTGTTATACTGGATGGAATGGAATGATGATTTTTGATCGCTTTTACGTTGACATTAGGAAAAAAAGAAACTGCCTGCTTATCATTTCATATATATATATATAAATTTTTTTTAATATAAGACGCGCGTATACTCAGTCGATACAAGTGTAAATAGTAGATGTAAGACATTTATTTATTGTACAAAATTTATGATACGAGATTTTAATTGCTGAGAATTCCCTCTATTATCACGAGTTTTTTGTCTAGTAACAAAAAACTGATTATTTTATTATGTAAGAAAAATTATTCTGAGAATTATTTGTCATTAATAGTACATTACATTGAAGTAATAAGAAATTGTCACTATTTTAAGTGGTCAACATCTTTTTAATAAAGTAAAAATGGGTGATATATAATTTTAAATACATCAACATATGACATGTTTTTAAAGAAATGTAAATATATTATATAAATTTATACAGCAGTCAATTCTGAAATTGACCAAGCAAAAGTTATTGCTTTTATATATTTCTTACTGTAATATTAATTAATTTTATACATATTTCGATATCGAGTAAATGAGCTGCGAAATGTGTTCTAAATTTAATAGCATTACATTTGAAATGAACAATAATTTCTAATGCATTTTGTACAAACGTTAAATGTAGTGGTAGATATTTTTTTTTGCATGTTGTAAAAGAATTTTAACAGAGGAAACAATATCGAGCTTCTAAAAAAAACATCGTATACATCATAAATTACTAAATTTATTCCAAAAGCTATTCACTCCTATTAATAGAAAGTAGAGTCTCTATGAAAATAATAGATATTAAGAAAAAAAATTACAGGACTCTTAATATTCAAGATACATAGAGATATAAAAAGAGTCATTCGCAAATCAAGAAAATATTTATACCGGACTTTGCATCGCGATATTTTCGCTCGTAAAGCACGTAGAGAACAAATAAAAGCACTTTTATTATACAATCCGAGCAGTCGCTATCGATTGAGTGTATATAGAACTTGATCAGTTGAGCCGTTATCGATATTTGATCGTCTTCAGTCTGTCGCAACTCGACGGCTCGCGAAAAGGAGGCATGGCAGTGTCGCTGCGCCTGACTTAGCGCCGAGATGCACTATCGTGTCTCCAAATTAAGTGTATTATAAATATGTAGATTAGAATAAATAAGTGTATTAGATACAAAAATTATATAAAGATTTTTAAAAAAACTACAAACAAATATATAAGAAAAAATAGTTTCGATACAGAATACAATGCGGAATATTATGTATTGTATTTTAAAACTATTTTTTCTTATATATTTATATTTATAGTTCTTCTTTAAATCTTTACATAATTTTTGTATCTAATACATTTGTTTATGACTTAATATGAATATTTTCTTGATTTGCGGATAACTCTGATTAGCCTTTTTATATCTCTTTATGTATCTTGAATAATAGATATAAAATATTCAGCGTACCTCAGAAAAAGTTTGTTCAAAGTTCGGTAGCACTGAACAATGCGAGCTTGTCAATTCTGCGCCTCGAAGAATTATCATCTTCCATATTATATTAATTAGAAATTTTTTACATACTTTCTATAAGGTTCTTATATTAAAAAATAAAAGCTTATAGTGCAGGCACATGACAAACATTTAATTATAATTAGTGCTAATTGAGATCGATATCAGAATTGTGGTTGACATATATAGGTTTCGTTAGTACCGAAATTCTAGCTATAAATTCGAGGTTTATAAATTCAAAATTTAAAATCGTTTTTGGTGAAGTTTTCTCAGGACCAAATGTTTCACGATAAACTTTTTATATAAACTCTCCATAAAATTAAATTATCATTTTATATAAGTAAAAGAATTGAAGTAACTGCAATTAAAACTTCTCAAATAAAGAAAATATAATAAATTACGAGTCAATTAATCGTAGGATATTCCTATATATCATTTAAATTGTCATAATTTATATTTTCTCAAATATTATAGCTTACATTTCTTTTTTATTCTACAATCTGTAGTCTCCTGTAATTTATCATCTAATATGATTTAGGGCTTAGCTCTCTCGGTGGTAGTTTTTTAATAATAATAGTATTTTTTGACTATTTAAAAACTATTATACTATTATTTTAGAAATTATTTTACATTCTACATGACATAGGATTGGACAAATTTCTCAGTTTGTCGCATATTTTACAAGTTTTAGGATTATAAAATTATTATGTTTTTAAGGGAAAACTAAAAGCCACGTATTATTAACAATTAATTTATTACATTTCTTGTTTCTGATGTCATACAATCAGTCTAGCGCCTCAAAAGAACCAAGCCTTAAAAAATGTATATTCTTAAAGACTTGTAATTCAGAATATCACATTTATAAGATATATAATCATTACAAAAATTAATAATAAATAGAATGTTTAAAATTATATCTGTTGCTCAAAATAAAGCTATGAAGTTTATTTACAATAAGCACAATTTTAATTTATATATTGTATGAAACATGAGACTTATATTATGTATACAAGTTATTTACAGTCTCTAAATATACAGACTAAATTTATTCATTCTTGAAAATACATCGCTCACCATTGTTATCATTCACTGTATTCATTTCTTTTGCCATATGTAAAAAGAATTTCTTACACATACATCTCGATTATGTGATGGTATGTGGTATACTGTCCTATAATTTTTCCGGTGTATCTTCTATATTTCTGCCTTCGAAAAGGAGCTCATCCTCAATCAGTTTATTTTGTACTTTTTTCAAGGGTCGAATGTATCGAAAGTATTCGTACACCTTATAACAGAGATAAAGGGAGCTGATCGCTGTGACGCCCATGCAGATGCTCACAGCACCTTTATGTATCTTGTCGTACACCCTCTCCTTCCTCCTTCTCTTATAAAGGTTCGGATCCATCGCTGGTAAAACTTGTTCTCCTGCTCGTTAACGAACGTAGTAGTACTCGCTTAAGCTGAAAATAACATTACGTAAGTAAATTTCACGAGTCGCGACGCATCATCTTGGAAAACAGATAACCTCAAAAGAAGAAAATATTTGAATAGCGTACGTAAATTGTATGTATTTGCGATAATCATAAAGGAGCACTCACCTGAAAAGTATTTATTTCAGTTCGATGAGACTTATGTACAAATTAAATTTTTTTTAATCGACTGTTCTAATAGATATTCATTGAAACTGCTCGGAACTACGTTGATATCATGCCGGCACTGTACCGCATGGGCATGATGAGCGATAGTATCATAGTTCTCCACGCATGGCGCTACATTTGCAAAGCTAATTTTGACGTAATAAGTTTGTATAATAAATAAAATTTATAATCTATTTTAATTTATAAAAAAAACCTTAAGTGATATTTATCATGTCAAAGATTTAAAATATTTTAATTTGAATTTTTTTAAATTAGAAATAAACTATTTTTAATTTTATCAGAGTAAAACAATGCAAAGTTATCGTATTTATTGATAAAAAAAAAGTACAAGATTTATATTTAAAAATATATTTCAGCAGGTGTGCTCTTATCAATATTTTTGTTCGATATAAGAAATATATCGTAACATCAAAATAAGATAAACCTATATTATAAATTTTATACATTTTTTAAAGTACATTTTATTATATATAAATACATGTAAAGTTTCTAAAATAATCTATAATTAATGTAAGTTAATTTATTTTGTTTAGTTGTGATACAATTAACAAAATGACATTTTTTCTTACATCTATTTACATACAAAAGAATTGTTATGGGATAAAATTAGAATTCCCTTCAATTCAAATAGTAAATAATACATACACTAAATACAATTCACAAAATATACTTGCATTTGAGGATTGTACAAAATTTTCACGAAATTTAAAAGTTAGTTTAGGCATCTGGAAAAATTGGAAGCATTCATAAGAGAAACTCTTTACTAATTTTTTACACTTTTTATATTAAAAAGTTTAAATTGTCTGAGTCACAGCCCTAATATCTAATTGTAAGAATTGCAGTTAAAATCATTTTTCTTTGCATATGCTATATCTTTAAATAAAAAAGTTTAGGAGCAACACTTATCTGAATCCTCTGCCTTTAATTCTCTAAAAACTCGTCAAATATCTTTGAATCAATGTCTAATACTATCTCGTCCAAGGATGGGCCTTTTGCAGAGACTGGTAACTCTAAATTTGAAACAGATAAATTAGTTATGTATGACACATATATACATGGTGACAATTGGAAAGTTATCGAAATTGAACTGTTAACTTGTAATGGATGAACAAAATAAAATTAATCAAAGATTATAGGAGAAATCTAATGTAAAAGAGAAATATATATATTTTTTAAACTTATAATAAAATTACGATAAGTAAGAATGAACTCTGTAACATGTTAAATATTGCGTGAATAATTATCCATTGAATATTGCACACATATTATGCAGAAAAGTTGATGCAGAAAAAAATCACTTTTATTAGTATATAGTAAAAAATACATTTTTAATAAAAATGGTTACTTTTTCCTAGCAACATTTTACTTTAGTCAATTCTTTACAAAAGTAAGATCAATAGTTAATTGGGAAGTAACTATTTAGCAATTTCCCAATTAACACACTGTGATAATCATATCTAAACAATATACGAATTTAGACCAACTGACAATATATATTCGTGCAATATTCATAATGTACAATTATTCATAATTTATAGATTTACATTTTTATAGATTCCCATATTAGTTGCAATGTTAACAATGCCAACATCATAACCAATTTGATAGCAAAAATCTAATCCAGCAAGAAAACAAGCGTCGTGTGTCGCCGGCTTTAAATATTTCTACAAACTATTGTTTGCTTTTTATTTTTCTTTTCTTTATGAGAATACATAAAATTAAAAGACATACTTGGTATGGATCCAGTTGTTTTGTATTCTGCAAGGTCCTCTTTAAAAGCTTCCTCAAAAGTCTCTCGCCGTTCTTTCAATTTTTTTTGCTGGTTTAGTTCATGCTGTGAGAGTCTCTCTGTGTGCTCATTAGCAAGTTTTGCTAAAAAAAAAAAAGTAATATGAAATAAATCATGAAAAGACTTTGATCGAATTAACATGCACTATTCATTGTATGATGTACTCACTTTTGAAATTATTTAATTCTATCAATTTCTTCTCTTTGTACAAAGCCAATTGGAACCTGTGATCCAGTTGTCTACTTTGTAAATCTAACATTTCATTTAAGTCCTCCAATCGATACAAAGCTCCTTCAACTTCTTCGAACATTTCTTGTAAATTTCCTTAGAGATATAATAAATAATAATTTTAGAAAAATTAGGATAAATTTCCATTCAAGTTTTAATTTATCATGTTTTGTCTCTGAAGAAAAAACTACCTATTTGGTCCATGAGATCTTGAATCGCATTATTAATCTTTGGAATGTAAGCTAGGGTATTGTTTAAGCTTGTAACATTGTTCCACTCGTGTTGAAGTTTTTCATAAATAGAAGATATCAGTGTATCTGCTTCCTGAGCCTTCCCTGCATTTTCCTCTGCGAGCTCATGAAGCTCATTCCATTGCAGTTGGAAATGATGCAAAACATCTGCTCCAGCATCATAATTTACATTCCTTACATTGACTGGCTTTTTGCTTTTTGAATGCTCAGTGGTTGACAATCCACGTATACTAAAATTACAATTATAATATTCTATCGTAAAAGTTGCTACTTTTTATGTTACTACATCATCTCTTTTAGTTTATTTTTATCATAAAAATACATAATTTTTATTATATCAAGTAAGTATATGATTCATGAGCAGTTATCACCAATTGTACGTTAATGTAGTTATCCATATCATCTTTACACAATATGATAAAAGATAGTAGATATAGAAACGCTTTTACCTAGCAGATATACCTTCTTGTACTGTTTGAAACTTGTTACGTAGTGATCCAAACATATTTTAACTTGATGGTAAACATTCGCTGTCAATGAATCTCCAACTCTTAAATCCAGCTATCTATAAAAGATAACATTTTGATTTTCTTGTATAGCGGATATTATAGTGAAGTTTTTTTTCATATTGAATTCAAGAAACGTTTTTAATTTCTCTGCAAAGGCTGTTTTTATGTAACAAGCTGTTGTAATTTCATAAAAATCATAAATTTCTATATATTACTTGTATAATTATCTCGCCTCTAATCACACATACATTCAACTAATTCAACAAATCATTGTAATTCAATAACTCATGTTAATCGTGTTAAGGTTACAATCAAATCAATCAATGTCATTCGTTTGACAACGTAAATACGCCATTACCAACAAAAAAAATCTGATTATCTTATACACGTATTATTATACGTTTTACAATCACAATATCACACAATTGTTAGCCGAAAATAAAAGACAACAGGAAAGTTTTGTATACTCAGCGTGAAAAAGTAATACATGTGATTAAAACCTGTCAATCGTTATTAATTAACAGTCGACGTGTTGGCCGAACTCTGTCGTTGTTTACAAAACAATGTATGTATTCAGATTTCAGATACATTCGGCGCAAGCGTTAACCAACAATTAATTACATTAAATACCTTCTACGTATCGAACGGTGAAATTGGAAAACGACAAGTTTGAAATTTAATTAACAGAAAAATGTGTCTCTTACACTTTTTGAGGGAACAAAATTACATTGAAATCCGAAAACGACGTGTGAGAGGACGTTTGTCGGTAATAATTTGATTCGTCAGATTGTCGCGGACATGAGATAGGTTTGTTTCTCTCATCTGCACTCCCAGACACTTTACACGCTCGGAAACGAGGTATATCTATGGGCGTTGGAAAGAGAAGGCGCGAATAATTCGAGTGCAGTAAGCACAAAGAGAAAACGAACTGGCCGGTCGAATGGATATGTTGCGTCGAGTAGCACGGACAGTTGATAATGCAGCGTGCTCCAAAAGGAAACAGTTGGATTCAACGAATTTTCTTTCGTAACCTATGAGCTTCGACATATTCGCAATTGCTGGAAATCTTTGAAAATCTGCGACTGTGTGTGCATGTTGGCCCGATAGTAATTTCGATAGCCAAATTGGGATCGCAGTAGACAATTCGACCGTGGTCAGTACATGAATAGCAATTTTGATCAGAAATTGCTAGCAAATCCTGCAGAACAGAAACTAACAGTATAATATTACATCAATATTGTAATTTTTCCTACCCGGCGATATCATTGTGATATAATATGTTGTAATACATAGTTATATTGTTGAGTAAGAAATGATAACATTAGCGTTATGTTACTGTTAGTTTGTTTTACAATTTTAAACTTGTGTTTCATAAAATGCTAATATACATATAATTTGATATCTGATTGGCAGCAGAAACAGAGTAGTATCTGTCAAATGCGAGTTTTCTATCTGCATTAAATTATATGATAAATATGTCAAAATTTGCTTAATTTTTGCCGTCAATCTGCTATCATATTTTGTTGGTAAAACAAACTTTTCTACATTTTTCTGCCAGTATCTTACCATTGTATATGCTAGATATCTCATATCAATTATAATAATTTTTTGTCGACAAAAATTATAGCGGGCACTTTACCAAATATCTGTCTTGATAGATTTAAAGCTGAAAAATTTATCATGTGTATCTCCTAATGTAATGGGAAATTGCTTGGTGTAGAACTTCTAAGTTTATTTCTGCATCTTCTCAATTTCCAAATTTTATAATTTGATGAAATTGTCAAAGATAAATATATAACAAAAGTCTGAAAGATATAACATCTCAAAATCAATTATTAAGATGTTTGTTTATGTAAAATAAAAAATTTTATGAATCTTCTAAGAAAAATCGATTGTCATATTGATTGAACGAATGAAATCTTCAGATATTGTATATCTCTCTCGCATTTTTCCACGATTTTATGACTTCTAAGAAAGCAATCTACTATTTTCTGTTTTAGTTTTTTAACACTAAATCTTTTCTTTAGGACACTTTATAGATTGAACCTAAAGTAGACTATTAGAAAAATGTTATAACAAAATGATAGCAACATAAATGTAAAATTTAAATTTCCATATAGCGATGTTCTAAGGATATATCCGTTATTGATCCAGGATATATCATACATAAAATATACGGGATATAATATGCATGTCCATGAATGAACATAAAGGTATATCCGTATAATGAACCTACTATAAACATCCATAATATATCCATGTATATAATATAAATATACAAACGAAGGACATATATGTATATCCATATATGTATGTTACGCGTATATTAATTTTCATACATCAATGGATATTTAGAAATGTGCTATTAAATGTATATCCATTGAATGTACTTTCACGGATCTGCCAACTACATTTACCGGAGGATATTGCATGTACATTGTATGTAAATACTTCGACGTACATATCGAAATGTCTATAAATGTTCTTTTCATGTATATTCGACGAACATACTTTCACGAATCTGCTAAGTACATTTACTGGCGGACATTGTATGTACGTTGTATGTACACACTTCTAAGCACATTTCGAAATATTCATGAATGTACTTTTCACGTATATCCGCTGAACGTACTTTCATGGATCTGCCAAGTACATTTACCGGAGGATATTGCATGTGCATTGTATGTAAATACTTCGACGTACATATCGAAATGTCTGTAAATGTTCTTTTCATGTATATTCGACGAACATACTTTCACGAATCTGCCAAGTACATTTACTGGCGGACATTGTATGTACGTTGTATGTACTAGAGTCCTAGATATCAGAGAAGCGCAACCGATGTTCCGCGTCCTGATTCGCTGATGACTGTCAACCAATCATGACATTCATTCATTGGTATTAAAAATGGCTGACTAATAGACGATTGGTGGATTTCGTAGTTCGTCTGCAAACGACGCCATTTTTAATACTGTTTTTAGTAATTTTGCGATACTGACTTAAGCCGGTTGCGCTTCTCTGATATCTAGGACTCTAGTATGTACACACTTCAACGCACATTTCGAAATACATTTACCGGAGGATATTGCATGTGCATTGTATTTATAGTGTATGCATATACATATGTATCTGTGGCGTCGAGTGGCTCACCGCTCGGTGCGATTGACTCGCGATCTGTAGACCCGAGTTTAATCCCACGTGCGCCCAAACGCAATTTTTCGCGTTTAATATATTATGTATTATGTATGTCATATGGATATTTGTAATGTATTAAAAAATATCCATTGAAATATTCATATGACATACATAGGATGTGCGGATGTACATTCTATGGACATGAAATGTATCTATGCTGAAATCAATTCGAGCATACACTGAGGATGCAATGGATATTAATTTAAGTTCTCGTGGATATCCAATGGATATTCAATATCCTTACATGTATATACATTAAATATGCAATATACATTTGTGTGCTATTTGGGTTTCTGCTTAAAAATTGAAATTATTTACAACAATTAATTTATAATAATAGGTAATGTTTTAATTATCTATAACTTTTAATAGTAAATTCCATTATAGATTCAATGAATAAAAATAATAAAATATATATGATAAATAACTTTTATAAATCTCTAATCTAAAAATAATATTTATCTTGTTTTTTAAATAATCCTAACAAAACTTTTGAAAAATATTTTCGAGAACATATGTTTAAAGTTTAAACATTGTGTGCTTTTCTTAAATAAAACTGTATGCACATCTCTTAAAAACTGCCAGGACTCTAGATCTCTAAGGTCCATAATCATAGTCTAATCTTACATAGAATCGTATAATCTTAAAATGTGTATAATCTTATAATGTCATTTTATTGATTGGATGGAATATTATGATTACTCTTATCAGAAGACGCGGTAGTGTCTCCAGCCATGTTCAAAAACTGAAAGACACTACAAGTCTCTTATCCCAAGCCACCAAAGTCCACTCCTGGGGGCTGCATAACTACTAAAATATAAAAAAATTTTGAATCGAATGTTATATATGTCCTGAAAGGCACGAGTAAAAGCCAAAAAAATTTTAAATCGGTCAAGCCGTTCTGGAGATACAAGCGGTCGAAAAGTGGTGATTTTAATGAAAAATTAAGAAACGTTTCCTCCTTCTTATTCTTCTTCTTCTGCTTCTTCTCTATCCACATTCAAGGCCATATTAAAACTTTCTAACATCCCCTCTCACCTTTCACTCACACCTTCACCATCTTCGACCGACCGCAACCTCTCTCCCTCCCCTACCACCCCTCTCTTCGCAGTATTTCACTCTCTTTCGGTATATAATATTTTTAAATCATTTTTTTATATATTTGTAATATATTTGTACTCTAAAAAGTAATATCCGAAAAAATCATATCATAAAAATGAAAAGTTCAAGCCATATTCAAAAAAGGATACTCAAAAATTTAAACCTTTTTATCTAATAATAATATATTACCATGAAAAGTAACTGATATATTATTAATAAAGGTGCCAGTACAAAGTGAACATACATAAAGTGTACGCAACTTTCGGCCGATTTTCGAATCGCCTCCGCCTTCCGTTGTCCCCCTCATCTCACCGCGCGCGGTCCAAATGCCGCACGATATTCGAGCGATATTTGATCTGCGCGCGGGGCAGTGAGATGAGGGGGACAACGGAAGGCGGAGGCGATTCGAAAATCGGCCGAAAGTTGCATACACTTTATGTATGTTCACTTTGTACTGACACCTTTATTAATAATACATCAGTTACTTTTCATGGTAATATATTATTATTAGATAAAAAGGTTTAAATTTTTGAGTATCCTTTTTTGAATATGGCTTGAACTTTTCATTTTTATATGATTTTTTCGGATAATCAAATTTAAAATGATCTTAAATATAAGATTATCGGACTATAAATACCGACCTAAATTTCTCTTAGTCTGTGTTTTTCCAACAATCGTTTTTAGCTTTGTCGCTGCACTGAAATGTATTAAAACTTCTTTTCTCATTTTTGCCAAATTAAACTTCAAATATACATCTACTTCATTTAATACTTGTACTTTATCAAGTACAAGAAATGTATACTATCTAGTTCAGACAAAAAATAACGAGCTTTATAATATAGTATACTGGAGCGCATCATCGAAGAGTTATGATGTCCTAATTTCTATATAATAACATTCTGATTTAATGATTGTACTTTTTTTTGTACGTTTTCTTTTGTCAGGAACTCGCTGATTAGCTAATTCTATCTGAAAGAGAGAGTTAGAAACACAAGTATTTATCTTCGTTTTCTCTTGCGCGTAGGATCGTAGTTTTCTATAGTTGAGAATAGAGAAGACAAACGCTGCGTTGTAGGTCTATAATATAGAGCTTAAAAAACAGTTGTTTTATTTTGATATAAGTATTTCTAAAGAAAGGTTTCCTACTGTAACAATAGTTATTCCCAACTGCCGCTATTTGTCGGTCTTTTATATGTGTCACTTCAGATTTTTAATTCATTCTAATTTCGTAATAAAATCCAATAGCATTCTATTCTTAACGCAGTCATGCTACAATAATCTGCAAAAATTTTAAAAATCAATTTTTTTATCCCTATAAATCTTCTGTCTTCTTTTAACAATATATGTTGCAATTTCTATTTTACTAAAAGAAAAAAGAAATATAATTTTTATGTCTTT